AGAGATAACATAAAGAGACCAGAATAGAACGGAAGAAACAGAACCTTCACTTCATTCCTCGACCAGATGCTCCTCGATCTGCTCAGGGACCTCGGCAGCAGCACCCTCCTCGGCAGGTGTAGGGGGATTGTACGGGTCTAGACTCTGTGCAATTTTGGCAATGCCAGGGAGCCAACGCACAATCCTCTCCTGGTAAAGATAGAACCCCTCCTCCCAGGAGTTAGAAGCAAAGTCATCGAGGGCAAGCTATTGGGTCTCCGAGGCCTTGTACTTAGCGACCGCTTCTTCCTCCACGTTGGCAATCCTATCCCTGGCCTCCCTGAGCTCCTTCCTCAAGACGTCACGTGCCTCCTTCAGCTCGATGATGTGGCTCTTCAGTTTGCGGACGGTGTCGTTACGCTCATCTATGTCGTGCCTTAACTCAGAGTTCTCGTCCTCGAGCTCGGAAACCCAAGACCTCGACCTCTCGACCTCAGCCTCCCATGCCTCATGAAGGCGCCACATTGTCTGAAGGTGATCCACCAAGCCGACATCCGAACAAGCATTCTGTAGGAAAAAGACAACTATCGGTACAACAAAGACAATAGCAACTGAAGAAATAAGAAGACTTATCATTGTGGCCTTCCAAAGAGCAACACTTTCCAAGGAACCGCTTGTCATGCTGGAGACCTCCTGTCTGATGATGGGCGTCAATAGACCCCGAGCACGCCCTCCATTTCAAGCCCATCACCAGGCTGAACCTTTCACCGCAATGAGTAGAAGTCAACAACACCGTTCTCCAGCACGTTCTCCGTCGGCGGCAAAGAATGATCATCCCGAGCACCCTCCTTCGGGTCGACCACCACTACTTCCTCGGGCAATCTTGGCCTCTTCGACTATCGAGGCATATGCTCCGCAAACTTCAGCTGTGGCTCGGCAGTCCAAGGTTGAGTGCTCAGAGCCCCTCCAGACCGTGCCCTCTCCACTGCAACCCTCATGTGAAGAGCCATCTCCTCACAACTAGCTATTTCAACACCTGCACAAGACAAACATCAAATTAGTCACCAAGTAAAAGAGCTCAGAAAAAGAATGGACCAGAAAAGCCAAAATGGCGCACAGACTGGCCGCCTCACTCATCAGCCCGGCACAGATTAACATTGAGAAGGGCATGCACTCCATCACGTCGATCCTCTCAATCAACGTAATCAACATTTTCTCATCGGTAAGCTCAGTCGCGCTTAGCGCCTTCACTTCCGTCCTCAGATTTTGGAGGTCAATAGGGAGCAACCAACCTCTAGGGCAACACACAAAGAAGAATCTCTCCTTCTAGCACTTCACCGAAGATGAGGCCCCGACCAGCACCTTGTTATGTTGTCAAGCTGAGAAGTAATAATACACCTACTGGTGATGCTTCAGTTGCAGGAAAGAGATGAACATTGGTAGGGTAATCTCTAGGCCATGGACTGAACAGTAACATAGAAGATTGACCACGAATCTAAAGGAGTTTGGCATCAATTGAATAGGGAGGACCCGGTACCACCTAAACACCACGGTGGTTCCCTCCCTTAAAGGAAACCTCAGCCCGACCATCAAGCTATGCTTGTATACGCAAAGCTTGCCTACCTGAGCTGAGGTGGCTCTCTCACCAATGCCCGGACACCTAAGCTCAAACTCTTCGGGTATACAATATAAGGCCATAATTTGGTCCATGTCCCCAAGGTTTAGGCAGCACGGAGTGGTTGCGAATTGATTGCTAGACCGCGGAGGGAGATCAGCCTCCTCTTCGGATACTACTTCGACGTCAGCCTCCCAGACCGTGGCTCCCTCTAACTCAACAGCCTTAGTCCCAAACTCGTCATCGGCCCCTGGCCATCGGCCTCACGGATAGTGAGTGCGGTAGCGTCAACGAGAGACCCCGGCTCAGATTCACTGTTGGACGAAGCAAAAGAAGAGGATGAGCAGGAAGAATCAAAGGACGAAGGAGAAGACATCTTACCGAAGAAACAATGGAAGTTTAGACCACGGAACTAAAGCCCCACCAAACCAAAGACTACTTCTCGTCGAGCTCTAGAAGGCCTCCTCGCAAATGACAAAGTGAAAATGCTCTTCACTCCCAATTATAGGGCTCCCAGCTATCCAGATCAAGGAAAATCAACGGTGTAGATTAGATGTCACCCTCTGACAGCTCGGGAAGATGAAATGACGCCACCGCCCTTCACACACACATGCCCTCGGGAAACAAAATGGAACTCCTACTGACCCATCTCGAAAATGGTATGGAGGTCGAACCGACCGATCCACTCAAACTGGTTGCATCCTGAGCCACCCAACTCAGAAAAATACTATTCAAAAAGAGTTCCTTAGTCATAGACCTCAGAGCTCTTCCACGCCACACCGCGACTGAGCACTACACTCCTCAACTTCGGAACTAGGGGAGTGGTATTTGGGTTATAGTTGAGCTAGCCTCGGGTGCCATATGTCACCTCCACAGCTGCCTTATCTCTTTGGCCACATCGGCACCACGTAAGATGGATAAGCGCAACCAAGAGAGGAGAGAAATGTATGGATAAGGAGGACACGAATCCTCGGCAGACAACCTCATCTCGATAACCCCAGAAGCCTCATATGAGTCACGAATCCTCAGCTATAAGTAGGTAACCTCTGCTCAAGGTAAAGAACTTTTGACTCTTTAGACTCCATACTGTTACTCTGCCTCTGCTTGAACCAACACATTTACCTCAACTACTCGGCCCGACCACACTGTTCTTGACTGACTTGAGTGTCGGAGTGCCTACCGGAGGAACAACTCCTCGGGCCTCTAACTACTTTCTTGTTTCAAATCTTGGTGCACGGCTTCGTCCTTCCACCTCAGCTTCGCCAATTGGCATGATTATCTGATTGCAATCCTAGTTTGAGACACATCGGATGAACATCATCAGCAAAGTTTTAAATACTTTACATGCTTATGGAATTGAGAATAAACAATTTTCTATTAGTTTTGATAATGTTAGTAATAATGATTATGTAATAAATATTTTAAAATCTTAATTAAATCCATGTTTAAATGGTAAATTATTTCATATCAGATGTGCATGTCACATCTTAAGTTAATGTATTCACGATCCTTTAAACATTATTTATACTTATATTTCTAAAATTAGAAATTGAATTATATTTATTAAAAGTTTTGGAGCAAGAAAACAAGAATTTAAATATTTATGTCAAAATTATGGTTTAAAATATAAACATTTTATATTAGATGTTAAACATAAATGGAATTCTACCTATGCTATGTTAGAAAGTTGTATTTCTCATAAACAAATTCTTACTGATTTTTATAATGCAAAAATGCCTAATGATATATATTTGGAAGACTATGAAATGGTAATTTGTATAAGAGATTTTTAAAACATTTTTATGATGCAACTAATGAATTATCGGATATTTATTATCCAATTAGTTGTAATTTACCTTATTAATTAATGGTGATTAGTGATTGTCTTGCAAAATATAGAAATAACCCACAATTTAAAAGTATTATTGAAATAATAGAAAATAAATTTAAAAAATATTGGGAGAACATTTCTCCTCTTTATTGCTTAGCTACAATATTCGATCCTAGGATTAGGTAAGATGATTTAGATATTTTACTTGAAACACATTGTAAAAGTATGAATATTGAAATTGGAAATAAAAAAGAAGAAATTAATAATTTATTATTTGAAATGTACATTTTATATGAATCTGAAGTAATAGGAAATAATTCTACAACTTGTACAGTATCTTCTACTTTTGAACTTGAGCCCAATAGTAGAAGAGAAAAACTTTTTTATTTAATAAATAGAAGGCAATAATCTGTTACCTCAACAAGTTCATTTACTGGACTTAATTTTTATTTACAAATAAAATTTTCTATGAAGTGAGGGAACAAATAATTTTGATATTTTAGCCTGGTGGAGTGAACATTCAAAAAATTATCCAATTCTCGCCACCATGGCACATAATCTACTAGCCCCTCCAGTGTCTACAGTTCAATCGGAGTCTTGTTTTAGTGCAAGTACTAGGGTGTTGGACAACAAGAGAAGTTGCATGAATGATGAAAGTATAGAGATGTGCATCTACATTAAAGATTAGCTGGATGTTGAAGATAGATTACAAGACAAAGGAAAGCAAGACACTACACCCGATATTTCACCTGAAGCAGATGATGAAAATCATGAACAATAATTGACAAGTTGTATAGAATTTTTTATTTTTTAAAATTATTGTAAATTTTGTTTTAATTTTATTTAATTTATTTGTTATTTTCTTAACAATATAATTTTGTATTTTCAATTTGCAACTATATTGTATTTTTTATATTTTATTAATTTATTTCATTTTCACATTTCATTCATCCAAGTATCCAACCATTGTATGCTTCGTAATTTGTCATTCAAATTTAAATGAAACAAAATTCCTATTTTTCTTCCAATTTGTTATTCCATCATTCTTATTTGGTTAAGCATTTTTTTCACTTATGTGTTAGATTTCTCATTTCTTAATTTTTCAAATAGTTCCCAAAACTCAAAGGAAAGTTAAATATTTTAGTTTTACACTTCTACTTAGAAAAGAAATCAAATTTTTCAAAAAAAAACAACAAAAAAGTAAAAAAATCAGTCTAGCCCAATTCGACCCACACCCAAGGTCTCCTGCCCTGTGACCCAACCCAGCACAGCCCAAACCCACGGCCCGGCCTGCAGCCTGGCCCAGCCCAAGCCCGCAGCACGGCACAGGCCCGCACAAGCTTGGATCGTGGGCCATGTCGGGCCGACCCCAAACTTTTCACTGGGGGGAGCACGGCAAGGCCGCACTTTGCACGGGCCACCCACGAGCCGTGCCGGCCCGCTTTACACCTCTACAAGTGAATACTAAAAAGAACAGCACCTAATCAGCTTTCCCATATAAAGTCTGCACTAAACTCAAATTGTAACATGAGTTGACTAAGTGGACAAGGATTTACTTCAAAAATTTTGTCAACATACACGTTCAAACAATATACTCGTTTCAAGATTAAAAATGTTTAATGTACCCCATTTACAGACGTAAAAGTAAAACCAAATAGTATTTTACACAAAAAAGGTTATTAGGAAACATATCATCACATTTATACATATGAGGCATCTCAATTCTCGCAGAGCTCTATAACCAAGGTGTTATCATCATCATCATCGAAGGCTTATCCCAACTATTTGGGGTCGGCAGAGAAAAAAAATCAGCTCAGTTATCGACAAAGTTGTCAGCAGCATTAGCAGTCAGAGTGAATACTTCGAATGTCATGTCACTTTATATTTCCTGAGATTGTATAGTCCTTAACAGCTCATTTAAATTTGCCAGTACTTGGCGTGGCCCCAAACTCATAAGCCCAATAGAATTCAAGAGTTGCTCTAAATCCTGCATGAAAAAGGCGAGCATGAGACCCATAAATGGCAAGGTTATATAATGTCATAATTTTATCTTAAAACATGTGAGGAATTGATCCTGTAACTCAAGGCGATTGACATACGGCATCAATCATGAGGTAGTCAGCGCAAGTCCAACTTACCCACTGAAATAAAGATAAAAAATATAAAACATAGAATCAGATGTAGCTCATCGGAATCAAATGGAGGACAAATTTGAAAAAGAAACCTGAAATCCATATAGATTTCTTGAAGACTCAACATGGTGATCCTGGCCTATGTTTAAAGAAAATTTATGATATTCTTCACCAATATTCTTAACAGATCCTTGACAGGAAACAAAATCCAGAGAGCCTAAGGCGGTGTTTGGCATTGATGCCGTTGCTTCAGAAAATGGCTCTACATCTGTGCCACATCAGAAAAAACGGTGTGCCAAGAAACACAGCCTTTGTTTGGAATCATTGCTCCGGAAAACGGACAGGAATTGGAATTCGGGAAAGTGTGGCTCGAGAATGTCGAATTTGGTGTTTTCTCATTTTCGGAACCGTTGCTGCCAACTGTACCATGACATGGCATCATGTAAACCATCGGATATGTGGACCAATGCTGAAAACAATTATAGAGCACTGATACCAAATAAAACCAGTGCCTTTCCCCAGAAAATATTCTATGTGGCAGCATCAATGCCAAACAATAAAAAGAAGGCATTTTCTCAGAAAACGGTGCAGCAGATACAGCACTGTTTTCTCAGATAACAGCTCTGAAGCAACACATTGTTGCCAAACACCAGCTAAATAATAATAGCTAGATGAGCAGCAGCAGCCATAGTTTTCAAGAAACCAAAGTGAGTCTGCTAGGCGACAAGGAAGCACCTTGTTGCCTAGTCGCCTAGGCGATGATATTTTTAGTAAAAAACATATATTCTAGGGTAGTTCCGTAGGTTTCATAACCATATTTCCTTAAATAATCATCCATAATTTTCATAAGAAAAGTACAAACCTCATGTTAAAGTACAGAAAATCAACATATTCATAAGAAAAAGAAGAAAGAAAAGAAAACTCAAAAAAAAAATATGAGGGCTGAACCCCTATTTTGTTATAGGAAAAGAAGAAGAAGAAGAAGAAAATACAGCATTTAGCGATATTTGTGTTGATTAAACCAGTGTTTTAAAAGCACAAGGCGCAAAAAAGACGCAAGGGTCAATTTGTGCCCAAGGCACAAGGCGAGGTGCATGCCTTTTTGAAGCAAGGCACCAAAAAAAAAGCTAAAAATTCAAAAAAAATGTCAGAAATTTCAAAAAATGCAAAAAAATCAAAAAAAAAATAAACATAATATTAATAAAAAATATAAATTTAAATTTACTGGAGCAGAGTAGAACCCCCTATTTGGTAATGAATATTTTAGTTTAATGATGCCTATTTTATAATTATAATATCAAAAAATTAGGAATATAAAAGTATTTTATAACTCTATGTACAAAACTACTTGGCAATTAGGCAAGGCAAACCTCCAAGGGTGCCTTGTCGCCTAGGCGTCGACTTGAAAACTATGGCAGCAGCTTCTAACATGGGGTTTACTAACATTTCTGGTATAACAAAGGCCGACTATTTTTCACTCCAGGAAACACTAGAAACATTCCACGGCAACTTTACCAAACAACAACAAGAAATAAAGAGATGACAAACTAGAAAAAGCACACACACCTTGTTCAACAAGAATATAGCATAAGTTGCTCTCGTTGTATCTTGGCCTTCTAGAAAGAGAGGAAATTCTGTTGGCTTAGGATTTGTTGAAGGTAGTAAACTTGATGTTGAATCGGATGGCATTGGTTCAACTGAAGGTGCATGATCAATGATATATGAACGTGAACCTCCCAAGCGGAGAGAGTACCTCAAAGGAACATCTAAATAAGAGGCAATAAGTGAAACTGCCTGCAAGACAACCAAAATGATGAATTTTTATTCTGCATAGAATTTGGACCAGAGTTCATGGACAGATTTCTATGAAGGGGCCCAAATGAGTCATGAATAAAAGGAGAAACATTGAAAAGTCAAAATCTTCTACATCTGGAAAATTAGCATGGTTTGAGAATTAAAAACTACTAACAAGAAGAACGCTTAATTGGAATTACATCATATGAAGTAACATAAAAAACTTACATGTGCAACATGTCCCAGAGCACCAGCAGATTTCAGAAGTTCCTTCTTATCATTGAAAAGACTCATCTTCTTTAAAGGGAGTGAAGTCAATTGCAGACCTGAAATGGTCAAGGGTCCTGGATTATGAGGTGTTGCAGATTTCCCTGCAAAAGTATATATTTTAGTACTTGTCTTCAATGCAGTGGAACATGATGAAAAGTTGCTAAGCATGACCGATTAAAGGATTATTTCTTTGGAAATCAGGAAATTATGAGCACAGATACACTGCCCATGAGACTTCAGGCAGGTATATATTTTCGTATCCCTTCCCACATAATTAGCCGTTCCCTGTTGTTCATTTAAGAACTACCCAAATAAAAGGGCTTTCTTTACCCAATCATCATGGAGCAGTTGGGAGTAGACTACACAATAAAGAGATGGTGTAGTAACAAATAATATCAAGACCTTTCAGCACCAACTAAGATGCTACCTCGAAGACTCCTGGTCATCCAGAACTCTTTCACAAATGATCTTTTTTTTCCATATCAACTCTTAATGAAAAATGAATAACCTTTAAAATTTCACCACGTATGAAAATACTACCTGATTTACTGTTGTTAGAAGATGAATTAGGCTTTTCCACATATGTTGATTCAGTTAAGGGCTTTACAGGGTAAAGAGTTGAAACTTGGGCTATCATATATTGTCTCCTTTTCTTTAGCATCATCAGCAAATTTTCTAGATGAATATAACCTCTTTCTCCAGCTAATAATCTATTTGCCTCCTGCAACCAGAACTTGATCAGATTGTCTGCAGCAGCAGTGTTTATTTTCAACCATGATAGCAAATGAAGCAAAAGAAACTAAATTAATTTTGTAGTCTCTTAGTGCTTGCTTTCACTATTTTTCCAATATGTTGCAAGTCTACAATTGACATTATAAAGGATAGTGATATATTTAAACTTGTTACAGGTGATGTTCTAGTCATCACATTCAAATGCATAGAAATTGTTATTAAATAAAAACATCCCATCCAAAACCCAAACAAAGGGACTGGAAATCCAGGGCTGTCTGGTGTGGGTGGTGCTTTAAGGGATAATGGTGGTAACCTCATTCTTAGCTGTCTGGTGTGGGTGGTGCTTTAAGGGTAATTCCATAAGAATTGAATTGCAACCTCTAATTCAAGGGTTGAAATTCAGGGTCTTAGAGATGTAGTGGTGGAAGGAAACTGCCAACTTGTCATCCATTGAATGCAGGCACAACTTATGACCCTCTGCCAATTCAGGCCACTGGTGAGGCTTAGCTACTTCCCTAGGAGCAACTCCCTTGTCCTGGTTGGCGCGCTTCTTTTTCTAGTGAGCAGTTGGGCTTGTTCTTTTAATGAAAGCATTCAGTTATTTATCAAAAAGAAAGCACAGAAAGGGAAAAAAAAGTTGGACACTGCTTAAAAGATTAATAATTAACAATAGCAGGAGAATAAACATAGTATCTACCTCCTATAAACAACTTACAAAATGTTTAAGCTGGACAGACCAAAACATCCATATCACCATAGAAACTCAACATTAATTGTCAAATGTCAATTACCTGCACTTGCTTACTAGCCATAGAAAGAACTTTTGCAGCAACCAGAAGTGATCTAATTTCAATAGTAAGCTCCTCTTCTTGGTTCCTTAAACCCTCTGCAACAACCTTTGAGTGCATCAACATATTTCCTATCACCAACTTCTGAGCCTCTAGTTTTTGGCGCATTTCCTCAAGCTCATTTGACCTACTTAGAGATTCTGATCTTACCTGCTCATCATTTTGTTCCCCACAAACCAGCAGGATGATCAATAAAATCCTAGAATTTCAACAATGAGAGATTAAGAAAAAGACACTAGATTTTAAAAACAAACTTCCACTCTTCACTGAATTTTTTGAAAATAGAGAATAAAATCCCTAGTTTTTGAGACCAAAGCACAATTGAAGATGTCAAATTGGATGTAATGCCCTACCTGGATAAGTGACTCGAGCTTCTGTTGAAGAGAATTCTTATTCTCCTTAGCTTTGATGAGTGCAGATGATAAACTCCATAATCGAGCAAGTTCCTGCTCAAAATCTTCCCATTGAATGATCTTCAAATTTGCAGCTTCTTTCGGATTTTCCTTTGAAGAGGAAACTTTCTCAGGTTCCATAGCAATGAGAGCTAAATAAGTAGAACCTGCAAATTCAAGATCATGGACAAACATCATCATCTCTCTGGTTGCAATTAGGTTTGATGATCATCAATCCATTAATAGAGAAATGCAGCAATGGTGATATTTTATTAAATAATGAGATGAGAATGCCTCATTAGAGAAGGAAGAAAAAAAGAAAAATTATTCTTTGTTTTAAGTCGCAAACTAATAGGAATACTGTCTCCAATCCACTAGATAGGGTAACTCTCTAGATAGGTCATGTATAATGCATTACATCTCTTAGTCCATGTCATCTCTGCACTGCCACATATTGGAGTTTTGCACTGCAGATGACAAACATCATCATCTCCAATCCACTATATTGGAGTTTTGCCACATGACAAGGGGTTAATCAGGTTACACATTGTATTGGTGGGTCACCAATACACGGAATAAAGGACCTATGGGGTTTTGACCTATTTCAGGGGGTAGACAGGCCTAAGACCAGCTGTCCCCTGACCTATTTATGAAAAAACCTAAAAAAAGGAGTTGCACAAGTTTCAAAGTACTGATACACCCTTCCACCATATCAGGGTGTATCTATATTTTTGAACCCTGCTCAGAAGTGTTTAAAGGTAATCAGATATGCCGTACCTAGGAAGGGGATCCCTTCTATAGAGGAAGAGCCCCAGCCAACGGAGTAACAGTCTCCCTAATCAGCCCACATTCCTTGTCCTAAAGGGTCACAATAACGATCCATTTGTAGGGTCACCGGTTTCCACAATAAATATGTGGCCATTGCTGACCTCCTCATTCGTCACCAGTTATGTCAGTAAAATCCTTTTATTCTTTTTTGACAAGTAACGAAGATATCATTCATTCATTATAAACATAATACCATGTTGGCTGATCTTTGCACCTATTGAACCTGCACCTACATACCCCTAGTTAAGCACTTGAGAAAAGAAAATCCTAGGCTTTTTGAGAAGATAATGAGGAAGCTGAGCCTAGAAAAATGTGCTAAATAATCAAGACGATATCTGCAATATCATGTCATGAACCTATTGAAGAGACAACAGTTGATAATCAATTATATCTGCAGTATCATGATAAGAGAAAGAAAACATAAGCAAGATGATATCTACAAAAGCTCTTCCTTTCCTCCTATGCCATGCAGGGTCCTGTATGGTTAGTGTCATCTGTGCATCCATAAAAGTGTTTCAAAATTCCCTAAGATGCTTAAACCTTGAGGCTTATCAAGCACGATGAAGTGATCAACCTCAATTATGAGAGCTACATATAAAAGTATAACAGAAATGCCGCACATCTTGAGAGACACCTTACATTAACAATTTTCAATTCACATAGTAATTGAAGTAGGACTCTCCATTGAAGACCAAGTTAAACTTCAAAGGTGAATCCTAACACATATATACATGCACACATGTTATGATTAACATATTTAGAGTGCTTAAAGCACTTGTGAGTTGTAAGGTATCATTTTACACAAACAAAAAAAATATCTCTTGCTTAAGAGAAAAACATTGGGAATCGATTAAATAAATCAGTTAATTAGAAATTTTTCATGGAATCTAGTTAAGGCCCAATTACTTGCAGTTTCTGATTGCTAGTAGACAAAAGTATCAACTGTAGAGCCTCTCACAGCCTAGCGATCCAAGAATTAGCCTGTGAATATGGTTAATTTTTCGATATAGAACAACTTATGGATTCTTTCTATGGTGGTTTTGTATGATGTCTAATACGGTGAGTCAGGATGAGATGATGCTACCAAGCAGCTGCCCAAGGTAGGTATTCAAACAACCAAAAGAAAGGCATTAACAGTAATAAAATAGAAAATAGAAGAAGTAATTTTGGGCAAAGGACTTGAGATATATTGTTCATTTTTTTCTCTTAAAAAATCCCTTGTAGCAACCAAAACCCTATAACTGCTTCAGTCCACATGATAAAAACATTTAAGAATATAGATAGCATTATAGAATCTGGATTCTAGTTAGAATATAATTCTCAGAAGACAATTGCATTTTTAGTCCAGTTTTTATAGACTTGATTATAGAAACAACCCTGAGAAATGGCTTTTCCGTAGAAACTAAAAGGCCATTTATTAGATTTTGCATCTTCTTTTTATAAAATCTGGAAAGTCAGATTCTGGGTTTTTTATCTTCTTTTTTTATAGAACGCAGAAACTCAGGCTCTAGGTGTCTTCCTTATTCTTTTTTTTTTCCTCTTTTAACTGGTTCGTTGAACAGGGGTTCCACCTCTTTTCTTCCTTCTACTTCTTCATCAACGGCAGGGACTCCGTCAGTACATCATCTTCTTATTCTTCTCTTGTCAAATAAAACAGGAGCTTTCCCCTTTATCATCTTCTTCTTATCCTACCTATTCTAAATTCCTTAAAACAGCCTCTACTCCTTTTCCTAATATTTTATATATTTCCATTAGTACACGATATTTCAACAGATAGCCTGTTTCATGTTGACAATGCAGTAGTAGTTCAAGTGTTTAATAATATAAAGTTTCTTTACAAAGATCTCCATTACTTTATATTGGGTAGCGGTCTTATGAATCTCTCATCGTGTACATATCCTGTAGGTGTGAAGCATATAGCACATGTAGCTTTCCCATAATGCAACATACATTTGTGGATTTTTATTACAACTTTAACCATTATAATATGTTTTTTTTTTATTTTCCTAATGCTGATGTTTATTTATCTCATGGGTATATGTATTACAATGTTCTTGGAGGGCACATACTTTTAATTGTTAGGGAGAGGGGGACCAGACATTATCACTACCCCTGAGGTAAATAAATGCATTAAACGAGAACCCCCTTGTGGCTCAGTGGCTGAAAGCCTGAAACATGACTTTGAATAATAAAACAAGAGAAATTTCACATCAAGGGAGATAAGAAAGGAATTGGCCATCCTTTCTCAAGCCATGGTCTTTCTTCCTGAATATTTCTACACTGTAGCAGTTGGCATGCGGTTATCTTCTAACTGTTCAAAGTCTAGAACTACCACATCTGTTGATGTAGATTACCTATAATTATGTATGCAAATTCAAACAGCTGTCATATATGTACTTTGACAAGGACTGCTGCAAAATATTTACAGGTGCCAGATAGCTTAATAGTTGGTAAAACTCCTACTCACAAACCCACTACCCACTAAACCCACCTTATCCACAAGGAAGAAAAACTAACAAGAAGGGGGGGGGGAATTATTAGTGGGTTCTCCTGAGGTTTTTTTCCTTATCATCCTAATAAGTAATAAGTTCTTATGCTTCATGTATTTTCTTTCCCCATATCAAATTATTTGTGGGTTTCAGTTGTCTTCCATTTCATTCTAATTCTGAGCAAATTACACACATTTCTTTTCAATTGAATCAGACAAAACAGACCTAAGCATGCTTTTCAATTGAATTTCACATTTCTTTTCAATCTGTCTGATTTTTTTATAGGATATCTGTCTGATTGAAACACTAGTTTTTCCATTTATGCAGGAAACAGCACCAATAGTCAAGGTTCCAGTCACACGTTTCTTTTAATTATCTTATATCATCCTTATACAGTCAAGTTGAAAATGTTTCAACTGTTGATACTTCTAAAATACAATTGGAAATTGGATTTAATTAAGCAGCAAAGAGATGGATGAAACTTGAAAAAGGATAAAAACAATACCTTTGCTTTCCTTGCAAATTATCACGCTCAGAAATGAAGATCAATAGGACTGAAGAAGGCGACCTGAAAACGAAGAAGTCAGGACCCTCTCTTCAAAAAGAAAAATCCAACAAATAACGAAGTAGATCAAAGGCAACCTGAAAACGAAGGCAGATCAGAGTTGTCTCTCTGTAAACGAAAGCAGATTTGCCTGAAGACGAAGACGGATCTCTCTTCCAACTAGACGCCCTAAACGAAAAAAAAAAATCATAATGAGAGAGCAGAGATCGAAACGAGAAAAGAGTTACCTCTCAGAAATCGAAGGCAGTTACCTCGACTGAGAATGAAAGCGAAGATTCCTTTCATTTTTGTTGAGAGCAAAATTTGCTCTTATTTTCGATGCAAATCATGGCACATACATTTTTGCATCAAAAAGTGATGCATTTTTCTATCTCTTTTCAATTACAAACATGAACCGAATCGCAAATTTACAACGGTTGAGCATTTGCACTCCTTCCAAAGTTCCAAGTGCAGCCTACTAAATGAAACGAAGGAAACCCACACGAACATCTCTCTTATTTAATTTTGTTTTTCTATCCATGTAAATTCCTTGTGCCATATTTAGGGGTGGCCACGAGCCGAGTTCTTCACGAGCTACTCAAGCTCGGCTCGGCTCAGTTTCAACTGAAGTCGATTTTGAGCTTGAGCCCAGATTACAGGTTCGATTAATAAATGAGTTGAGTTTAAGCCTAATGGAGCTCAACTCGTGAGACTTGCGAGCTGGCTTGAATATATATAGAAAATAATATTAGCTCGAACCGAGCTCAAGCTCGAGCTCTAGTCTTATACTTCCTAGGCGAACTGAACTCGAGCCTCATACTATTCGGCTCAGCTCATATCAAATCCACCCCTAGCTATATTAGGAAAATTTTCGATTAATTATTGAAACCTCCCCTAAAGTTTTTGATTGTTGATATAACCACCCTTGAAGTTTAATAATTACAATCACTTTCTCTGAACTTTGCAACACAATTGTAGATAAACCCCCTTTGGTAGAATCTTCTAAAAATAGGCTTGAAAATGTCTAAAATATCCATGCAATTTGTGAGCATCGGAAAAACTAATTCACTTCGCCACTTGGGTTGAAAATGGAGTCGCTACCCATCAAATTAGGAAATGGAGGTGATGAGACATCCAAGAAAGATTTTTAAAATGCTTCGTTTTAATAGTGACTCCAAAACCCTAGGCACCAATCCAATCAGTTCGGATAAGACTCGGATGGAAGAGGGAAGGGGTAAGGCACCCTTTCCCGGGTCCAATGGGTGGGGCCCACATGAGATACCAAACAAGCAAGAATACTATGAAAAAGAAAAAAGCATTCAATTGACTAACAACATGATAAACAAAACACGTGAAGAATAAAACACCATAAAAGAAACCCTCCTAATTATATTTTTTTATTTTATTAATTATTATTATTTTATTTATTTTTATATTACTGTTATTTTCTTATAGAACTCTATTTATTTATTAATTATTTTTTAATCAAATTTCTTAAATAATTTTTTATATACTATTATGTGATTTTTACAATTTTTTATTTTTTATTATTTTCCTTTTTTTTGTTTTTTCACTGTTTCGCTATCTACTATTCTACTACTCTCCAAGCAGAAAATACCTCTTAAATCTCAAGTTAACTACCCAGATTTGCTAAAACCGATATCACAAATTCTTAACTCCACTATAGGGGTGGACTGAACTATAACATCCCCCTATGCATGGATAAATTAGGTCAAGCATAAAAAGAATAAAAATAGAGAGAATGACAGTTCAATCCATGATCAAAATTTTTAGGCCCAAAGTACAGTTGGGGTAGGTGCTTATCCTACTTTTCCCATATCCTCCAATTTTTTTATTGCATTTAATAGGATGGTGGATATAAGTTTCTTGTACAAACAATTTCCAAATCAGACTATCAATTGGGCCAAAGCAAAATGCATGTTGATTTTTGGCATGGACAGTGTTTTTATTTGAACTCACATATACTGTGACCACTACTGTGCTGATCAACACGGAGAGAGTAGTGATTCAACCAACAAGTAAAACATGGCCCAATCTGACCACGACCATCTAGAAGATTTGACTCCCCAGCCCGACCACTTTCATTTAGTGTCCCCATAATAATGGTCAGCACCGACTATTTCTCTCTCTCTCTCATACCTTCAAGGAAGAGCCATAGCGCTACAGCAATGTGATTATCACCCCAACCAATGGTGACAGTGGGATTTGATCCGCAAGTCTCATTTAATATGTACAACCAGTCAGAGAACATTGAAAAAATTAGATATAAGTGGACTTCAATTTACTCAGAAATCTGAAATTGCAGCCCCTTCTACTATATTAGTACCTCCCCTAAAACCACATCCTATTCGTGGATTTGACATCAATCCAGAGTCTTTATCTATTTTTTTTTTTTTCTTTTCTTATATTTATTTCGTTCCTTAGAGTCGGCTCTCTCCCTCTTTCGGCTATGGGTCTCGTAAACGCTCCCCTCCCATCTTTTTCTTTGCTTACTGAATCAATCCTCTTCATGTAATGATCTCAGGTAATCCAGAGTCTCACACTTGTGACCTTCACAGAATTCAACTAGCACAACACATGTAGGTTCAACCCATAAGATCGGATTGGGGATCCTTCCCGCTCTGTCCATCTAGCACGACAGCACAACACACCGCAGCAAAGAGATATTTGACACCCAACGTAAATTATTATTTACTTCCAAATAATATGGCAAGTATATCAAGCAGCAATTACGCATATACTCACGGTGAACACTGTATTCATGCAGAATAGACAATAAAGTGAAGCACGATGAAACTTAAACTGCTTCTAAGCAAATAACAGATCAATTTAATTGTAAATAACAAGAATCAGGAAATTTGAGACATGGGAAACAACATTTGAAGCAACAAAACCAATAGTTCAAATGGCAAACAAGCACATATCGTGATCACTAGATTCGTTGCCAACAAATGATTTTATAGAGGTCGGCTCAGCAGAGCTTCATTGCCGTCTCTATGGCTGATGATCGAATGTTGTTCAGCAGGGGATGAGAAGAATACAATAAAGTAAGTAAATAAACTAAAAAGGGAAAATCATAGAGGAGAAGAGACGTACCTGAATCGAAATTTTGGCCTGAGCAACGATGCTGCAAGAGCCTCGGCCCAGTCATCCTAAAGTCGGTGGTTCCTCGCCAGACCCCAAGGAAAACCATAGTGTTCAATGCTCGGGCCGCCGTTGCCAGGAGCAAAGAGGTTATCTTCCCCGACGGGGTTTTAAAGCACGCCGAACTATCCCCCCATCAGCTCGCCACAAAAGCTTTAGGTCATCTCATGGTGGTACGTTCCCCCGACCTCCAAGCTATACTCATGCTTGTGTTTTTCCTTTCTCCTCACTTAAACTCATTGTCTTCTTCTTTCTTGTAGACGAACTCCACGATTCACTCCTTTCTCAAGCACTCTGAGCTGCACTCTACCAGGGTGCAGGTTGCCGAGGCTAAGGCATTTGCTTACGAGGCCAAGGCACAAGCTACTGAGAGTAAGTTGGTGAAGGCAGTTGGTCATATCCAAAAGCTTGAGGGCGATGTGAAGGTACAGAAAAGGCATGCTGACGAGCTGGAGAGTGAGGTCGAAGAGGCGAAGAAGCAGCTCGAGGAGGCCCAAAAAGATTTTGCTAATCTCAAGGATGCTCTAACTCAGAAGATCAGAAATGTCGAGGTCCTTGCAGTTTAGGCCTACAAGGATTCTCTTAAATTCGATAAGTTTCGTGACGAGACCACTACGTTGGCCTTCTAGAAGGGCTTCAAGCTTTGCCACTGGTTAGTCAGGCGTGCCTTCCCTCAGCTCGACCTCAGAGCTGTCACCACTGTCGGGGTCACCACGAAAATGGTCCTAAAATCCAAGAAAGAGAACCCTGACTCTAAGGAGGAGAGTGATGAGAACTTCAACGAGGAAACTATCGAGAAGTTGAGTAGGTCGGGTGCTACCACTGGAAAAGCCATGGAGACCGATGACGTTGGTGTTGCTGAAGATGTTGTGGAGAAGGAACCGATGAGAGATTCTCCCGAAGATGTTGAGGGTGGGGGCGAGGAGCCCCGAGAAGACTGATATATTGCCTCTTTTCTTGGACCCCTTTGTATATACAACATATACCGAGCCTCTAAGCTCGGTTCAGTAGACTTTCWTTTCTTCTCTTTTTTTTTTTGATGCTTGTACTAGAACTACTTTTTGGTTACAAAGTAATGAAGTGCCTCTTTTTTGTCACTTCACCTACAATAACATAGATTTGCAAAAAAATTTCTAAGTATAGGTTACCCGAGGTGCCGAGCTGACAAACTAGGCATGGTAAGGGATAACCCGAAGTCAATATACGCCGAGGTGGGTAGACGTTGTAGGGTATGTGCCCAACCTGCCTATGCAGCGATGAGGCGTGAGTTGGGTTTGTTTGTTGCCCATGCTTAGAAGCGACTGGGTCTTATTTTAGCACCAAGGTTACTTATTATATCGGCGCCATAGCACTTGGGCATTGAGAGCGACTCGTAGTCCACTCTCCATTGTAACTTTTAGCTAGAGTGCAACCTAACCAGCTCACTGATCTTCTGGACTTAGAGAAATTTTGTGGATGTCTTACTCTCGAGCTCAAAGGTAGTACCTCCTCGAGTTGTCAACGTTCCAAGCACGGGGTACCTGCCTCCCTTCCAACGTCTCAAGCTTGTAGGTGCCTTCACCAAAAATCAATCTCATTTTCTACGGACCTTCCCAATTCGGTCCGAGCTTACCCACGCCGGGCTCAGGTACCATTACCTCTGGAGTACAAGGTCGCCAACTCAGAACTAGCGTCTCTTGACTCAAGCATTGTAATATCGAGCTACCCGCTATTGGTAGGCCGTAGTCCGGATGTAGGCCAGGTCGCGTACCTCTTCGATCAGGTCGAGGTTTGTCCGAAGCTCGTCGTCATTGGCCTCCTCGTTATACGCCTCTAGTTGCAGGGTCGGTACTTCGATCTCGATTGGGATGACAGCCTTCGTCCTGTACGTCAAGTTAAATGGTGTCTCGCCCATTGCAGCCTTGATGGTCGTCCTGTAGGACCAAAGGACACTAGGCAGCTCGTCCACCCACAAACCCTTAGCTTGTGCTAAGTGAGCTTTCAGTCAGTGGAGGATGGCCCTGTTCATTCACTTGTGGGTGCACTACCAATGTAAAGTTCTATTGGATCCCCATCTTGGCGCACTAATTTTGGAACTTGATGTTTTCGAATTGCTTCCCATTATCCGAAATCAGCACCTTGGGTAATCTGAAGCGGCACACTATATTCTTCCAGAAGAAGTTCTACACATTGTGGGCTGTGATCGTCACAAACGGCTCGACTTCCACCCACTTTGTGAAGTAATCCACTGCCACGACCAGAAATCTCCTCTGCCCGGTTGCCGGTGGGAATGGACCAAGGATATTTATTCCCTACTGGACAAAAGGCCACAGGTTGTTCAAGT